AACCCGGCACAGGCACCCCCACGGACAAGGACCTCCCGTGCTCCTGCCCCTCCAGACCTCCCAGCCCTGCCTCCCGATCCAGCTGGGCCCAGAAACACCTCTCAGGAAAGGCTGCCAAGGATTTTAGAACGTTTGGAGGAGCCAAGACACACCCCCATGGCCGGCCGGGCTCTCCCGGGCTCTCCCATCTCCAGCAGAATCCAAACCCTGCTGGAGCACCCAGGGCAGACCATGGAGCAGGTCCTGCCCCCTCTCTGCTCCAGAGTGACACAGGAAACACGAGATTGCCAGGGAAAAAATGAGACACTGTGGGGTTTGTGTCGCAGAGAAGCTGCAGGCTCAGACCAGCTCCGTGTGTCCCACACCCCATCCAGCCCTGCCAGGACCTGGGGGGGGCTTGGGGGGCACAGCACCCACTGTTTGGATTTTGCCTGGAGCAAGGGGGATGCCAGACTCCATGGGCAGACTGGATTAGTGGTACAGACACCCCAGAACTTTCCAACACACAACATTCCCTCTTCCCGCCCTGCAAAGCGGGAGGAATCAAGCTGTGGGAGCATCTCCCAGCCCCTCCACCTTCCCCACCAAGGGCCACAGAACCCCTGGATAGATGGGGTGAGCTGAGTCAGGCCCCATTTCTCACTGATTTGTCATTAGAAAGCAAAAGCTTAATGACCCACAGCTCGATGGCCCGGGGCACTGCCACCACCCCCGGGATGCCAAAGCACAAACACAGGGCACAAACCTCCCTCTGCTTGAAGCAGCAGGAGGGAAAGAACAAAACCTCTGACCTGTCTGGGGTAAAGGACAACTCGAATTTCCCCGGGGGGGGGAGGGAAAGAGCAGCTGGGGAGGTTTGAACAACCAGGAACTAAAGGTTAACTGAGCTGTGACACAAAACCTGTGACACAAAACCTGTGACACCAAACCTGTGACACACCGGGACAGGGTCAGGAGGGGGTGACTCAGCCCTGCAGCTGCTCTGGAACCACCAGCCCCAGTTTGCCCAGGGACAGGGGCTGTGTTTTGTCTCTGTTTCCCAAAAAGGAGAGGGTTCATCCCACAGCCACCCCCTGCACAAGCACACAGAGCTGATGAGCCGTAAGAAATCCAGGCTGGAAAGATAAGG